GGTCAAAGGAAAGGTGTCAGGGGAACACAGTAGAAGGACCCGTCAGAGGCTCCCCAGCAAGGTCAGAACTGGTGAATCAAAATCTCTGTAAGCTTTCTTGTCTTAGGTAGCAGGAACAGAGAAGTTCGTCTAGCCAGTGGGCCTCATGGGGTGGGGGCCTTGATCAGCTTTTAATTGTTGCATCCTCACTGCCCAGAACTGTTCCAGGCCTGAGCAGGCACCCGGGAAGTATTTGTAATGATTGGTGGGCTGAATGAAGGAGAAAGGCTTTGGCCATTAATTGGGGAAGGGAAGGAATAGTGACTTTTTTTGAGTTTGAGGTAGGAAGTTGGAAACATCAGATTAATGAGATCAATTAATAATTAATAACTAACTTATTAAATTAACTAAAATTTAACACGTGGTATTTCTTTTTTTATTTTTGAGAGAGAGTCTCTGTTGCCCGGGCTAGAGTGCCATGGCGTCAGCCTAGCTCACAGCAACCTCAAACTCCTGGGCTCAAGCGATCCTCCTGCCTCAGCCTCCCGAGTAGCTGGGACTACAGGCATGTGCCACCATGCCCGGCTACTTTTTTCTATATATTTTTAGTTGTACAGCCAAATTCTTTCTCTATTTTTTGTAGAGACGTGGTCTCGCTCTTGCTCAGGCTGGTCTCGAACTCCTGAGCTCAAACGATCCACCCGCCTCAGCCTCCCAGAGTGCTACGATTATAGGCGTGAGGCACCGCGCCCGGCCGATACGTGCTGTTTCAGATCCATTCATTGATACATGTTGGGAGACTGTACTTCATTAAGCAGTCAAATAAGGAGTCCTCATTGCAGTCTACCTAATAGGAAAGCAGAGAAGTCCTTTAGTTTCTTCCATATTTATCGCAGTAAGTGTTAAAAACCCCTAAGACAGGAAAGTGCCTCTATGCAGGGACAGCAAGGATAGGGGTGCCAGGAGATGGGACCACTCAGAGTGAAGGGGCTCCAAAGCGGCTCTGAGTCGGGTGCCTGGCTGAGCTTGTGCTTAGCTCCCTGCTTGGCCAGTCTCCTCCACTCATTCCCTGTAGATGGGCAAATGGCCACGCTTTTCTCTTGGCCTTACCCCTGCCTGCCCCTCCCACCTCAGCCCTAGCTGCTTCTCTCACCTTCTCTGCCTCGGACACATTGGTCTTTTTGTCCTTCTGCTCTCTGAGCCCACCAGGTTTCCCCCAACTCGGGATTTGGTCCTCATTTCCCTCTTGGCATGTTTCCCCCATATTGTCGCACGGTTCTCTTCCTAGTTCTAAGCATTCTGTCTGAAATGACACCTCATCCCATCTCCAGTGCTGTGTCCCCTCTTTGTCCTCGATTTTTCTACAGAGCATCGGGCATTGTAGTATTTGATTTTGTGTGCGTTCCTCACTGGAGTGATGCATTGTTGAGGCAGATGTGATGCCTAGAACATTGCTGGCCCACCGGGGGACTCAGAGATATTGTAATAAATTAATTGAGTAGATGCTACAACTTCTTTTAGACAAGATCGATCCGGGAAGTGATCCCAGGATCATATTGTGATTCTTCAGTGTAAGAACCAAGATGACCCTGTTTAGAGTATGATATTACATGTAATACCATCAGGATATGTGTAAAAAAAAAAAGAGATCCCAGTTTATGAGTGTGTGGGGAGAGAATTTTTTTTTTAAATGTTCTTTTGTTCCAAAGGTTTACTTGTAAATTGGTTGCTTGAAATTGAGAGCATATCACATTTTCTAAAAAAAGGATTCTTACGTTGATGCAGAAGAATACCTCAGATTCAATAAATCAGGCACATGTGGAGAAAATACTGACCCTGCTATTTTATTTATTTATTTCTATCCCTCCCTTTTTCCAAAAAAGCTTTAAGTTAGCTTACAAAGAGTCATGTAGTCTCTCAAGTGTTTAAATGACACCAAACGTTTCAGGTGTACTGCCGAGCATGGGGAACGCAGCGTTGAATGAGATAGACACATCCGTCTTCACTGCACTCTCCCGGGGGAGGCACACGTGACACACAGTTACACAAATAATTATTTAAAATTCTCACAGGAACTATGAAGGAGAAATAAGGAAGAAGAGAGGGTGGTTCTATTTAAGAAGGCCAATCCACGAGTCTACCTTCTTCTACTTCTAGGATCATTGGTTTTCTAGAAACGTTTTAGGCAATGTGCAGCCACAGCCACTGCAGTAGAGATTCCAACAGCTAGAGAGGTGGGAGGGGGCCTGGGGCTGCCCCAAATACGGATTGGGATGCTGCAAATTGAGGTCCTCCTACTGTAGGTGAGTCCCATTGGAGTATGAAGGGCACTACAATAACAGGAAAAGCTTTCCTCTACTAGGTTAATGAATCCAGATTAAAAATAGTGGGTTGGCCTGAAGCAGGCGAACACATAGGGATTTTTCTTTCTTTTTCCTGTGGTAGCTCTGCCGAGGTCCTTTATATTCTTGGGTGTTTCAGAAATTTTAATTTATGTGGTCTCCAACTTATACTCGTTACAAATTTCCAGTGGGAATGAGCATTCCTGCCTGAGGTACCATCCTGCTGACATTTCCATGGAAGTCTGGAAGTTTTGGGGCAGAGGTTCTCAGATTATATTCTAGCAGAAACCCCACAGTGGTTACTAGTTTAGGCTGTAGAGTCAGACTGGGGTTCAGACCCAGGCCTTGAGCAATTTAGGCAGTGTCCCTAAACTTCAGTTTCCTCCTCTGTGTGTGTGGGGACGTATTGATATACCTGCCTCTAAGGCTGTTGGAGTACTCTGTCAAGCATGTAAGATGTTAGCACAGTGTCTTGCACTGAGGAAGTTCTCAGTAAATGTTTGTTATTAGTATTTCTGTAACAGTGCCTGGATGTATCAGTTTAGGTTCACAGACAGGCTGTCTTTTCAAAGTGCTGTGCTCCTAGGGAGGTTAAATGGTGCTAAGTCTTTGCTTAGGGTCCCAGCTGAGAACGGGGAAGAAAAGTCCATTTTACTGTACTCAAAGGCCAGTGCTGATACGACCCACAACTCTGGCTAATGCTTATTAATATTGCTTAATTTATCAGTGTTGTGAAATAATTATTATGTAGGCTAGGATACAGTTTAATACCCTTCTTCCCTTTGGAAAAAAATTATTCACATTTCCAAAAATCCAGCTAATAGATTAAAATTTTAAAACTAGAGATACTATATATAGAAGTGAGAAATGCCTATGCTTAATTTATTTGCACTTTAGCTAATTAAAAGTACCACAAGACCATTTTCTGGGGTGAATTTGATACTCTTATGTTTTGGATAGCATTTTGGGGGTTTTGTCAGGACAAAGGTGTAAATCAAGCGGGAACAAAATGTTGTGCTTCTGAGGCGTGTGCACTGTTAGCTTGGCCCTGAGATGAACCTGGAGATGAACCGTCTGTAGGTGCCCTCTCTCAGGCTTTCCAGCTGAAGTAGGCCAGAGAGGAGGCGACTGTGTTCGTAATGACTGTGGGATCTATTTCTCTTGAAGCAGCCTGTGGACTTTTAAAAAACCCAAAGATGGAAATGCTAGGAATATGCAAATTTAGATGGTATTCTTTTCTTGGTGCATAATATTCTTTAAAACTATAAGAGCTTCATTGTTTTGGGAAAAAATAATCTTTCTAGCTTAGAGTTTGCTTTTTGCCTATGTTGGTTCCTTTGAAAGTCCTTGAGAAATGTTTCCCTTTGCAGTGAAATAAAACACACTCAGACTACAAAACCTATCGTTCTTAGCAGTGTCGTGATATGCACATCAGTTTTTTAGGGTATATGTGGTACTTATTAGACACTTGGTTTTCTTTGGTTTGAAAGTTATTTTTATTTTTTATTTTTATTTATTTATTTTTTTTGAGACAGAGTCTCACTGTGTTGCCCGGGCTAGAGTGCTGTGGCATCAGCCTAGCTCACAGCAACCTCAAACTCCTGGGCTCAAGTGATCTTCCTGCCTCAGCCTCCTAGGTAGCTGGGACTACAGGCAGGCGCCACCGTGCCCAGCTAATTTTTTCTATTTTTAGTTGTTTAGCTAATTTCTTTCTATTTATAGTAGAGACGGGGTCTTGCTCTTGTTCAGGCTGGTCTCGAACTCCTGAGCTCAAGCAATCCTCCTGCCTCGGCCTCCCAGAGTGCTAGGATTACAGGCATGAGCCACTGCACCCAGCTGAAAGTTATTTTTAAAATAACAGTCATGTTCTACCCATTGGCTCAGATCTCTCCCTTCCTTACATACATACATATCTTATAGCAGTATTATTTCTTAGGATTACGATGAATTCCAGCCTCAACTTTGATAAGTAATTGTGTAAAATGCTCTATTTTGTAGCGATTTTGTGATATCGTGGTGACTGCTGTTTAGTGACTTGGTAAACAGTGGTAAATTACTGTTTCCTGGAAAGGTCACATTTCCAGTGAGGGACAACAGTAAATTGTAAAAAAACAAAACAAAAAACCCCAGTAAGTTGTAGTGGTGCTGTACTCTTGAGTGGAATGTTCAAGCCCTGGTCAAGTTGGGGGTTGTTGCTGGGGGGTGCACGTCTGAGGCAGGGTGGGACTGCCAGGATGGCCTTTGCAGTATGTGCTTGGAAGTATGCATTTAAGTGGGGAATATTGATTTTTATTTTCTAAAAGTGCTAACATGCAGATGGGTAGCCTTTGATGTAAAAGTAAGCCTAAGCTGTATTTTGCTGCCAGATTCTATTTCAGTTTAAAGCAATATAATGCCAGAGATTTTTATATTTTAGAAATGGCTACAGGTGGCTGGAACAAAATAGATTAACGCAGACATGCTTGGAGATTGCAGTGGCTTCCTTTGGACACTCACAAACAAGCATCAAAGCAACTCCTGAACTGCTTGACATCACAATTTTTAATAAGTGCTTTGGCCTGGCTTGCCAGCTACAGGTTTTGGTTACAGTTTTGGATATTTGTGTACTATGCTGGAAAAAAGCCCCACTACTTGAGTTTTCTTCCTTTTGCTATGATGCTTCTATCTTTTGACTTGTAGAACGCTACTGAGCCTGTGGCAGCCACTGAGACACTGGCCGAGGTACCTGAACACGTGCTGCGAGGACTTCCAGAGGAAGTGAGGCTTCACCCATCTGCTGTTGACAAGACCCGGATTGGTGAGTACTCTGGTCGCAGAACGAGAGGAGCAGTGAAGGGCAGGCTGTGCTGAGGCTTTCTGGGGGGCGTGTAAGGTAGGGAGCGCACCACCAGAGCAACAAGATTTACCCCGACTTAGAAGATTATGTGGTGTTTGTGCATTTTCCAGTCAAGAATCCAGGTTGGACATAGATTAGAAAAATAAAACCAGGAACACACACACACACGTACCCCATCCTTTGTGACCCGCCCAAGTGTCCCCCTCCTCTGTGTCTCCCTGGGCCTCTTCCCACAGAATGTGTTGTTCCCTCTTCTCTGATTTCACCGTGATTTGAGTATGATTATGCTATTATCTTTACCTGATTATTTTAGAATTATTTTTACATCTGTCCCCGTCATTGATTGTGAGTGCCTTCGTTTCTTATTTACCTTTATGTCTCCAGTACCAGACTCTTTATGGACCCTCAGTAGACGTTTAAATGAATGACATGACCTGAGTAGATCTGAATGCTTCTGGCTGGGATTTCTTGTTGAATACAAACCACACTGTGTGTGTTTGATCTTTGTGCCTAATCTTTAGACAGAAGGCTAAAGAAGTAAATTATAAAAATTTAGTCAAAATACAGTCTTGGAATATATCATGTTTATATCATGATTCTTGTTTTTTTAAGTTGTACTTCTGATATTCTAATTTATATATATGCGTATGTGTGAATAAATTTTTAACAAATGCTTTCCTAATTCTCATTGAAAACAGTGAGCAATTTGAGTATTTATATTATTATTAATATTATTATTGTTATTTTTAGAGATAGAGTCTTGTTCTGTTGCCCAGGCTGGTGTGCAGTGGCATGATGATGATAGAGCACTGTAACCTTGAACACCTGAGCTCAAGGGACCCTCCCTCCTTAGCCTCCCAAGTAGCTGGGACTACAGGCATGCACCATTGTTCCCGGCTAATTTTCTTTAAAGTTTTTACAAATTCCTAGGCTTAAGCAATCCTCCAGCCTCAGCCTTCCAAGGTGCTGGGATTACACTGCACCAGGCCCTGAGTATTTATATTATATTATTCAAATGAAAATGGTTCATTTCATAGCTTAACTAATTGATTGTGAGTCGTGTTGATGTAATTTATAGCAGACTTACAGAAAAGTGGAATTTGTACATCCTAGCTAGACGGGCCTGGCCCAGCCTCCATGCCACATTCTGTACGTACTTGAGGAAATTGAGGCTGAAAGGTGAGGGAACCTGTCCAGAGTGATGCTGTGTGCCAGTCCCCTGAACTCCGGGGCCTGGCTCCTGCCGTTGTACGGACTGCTTCCTCATCGTTTCTGTTTGCTTTATGGTCAGTGCATAGAGAATAGAATAACCCTAAGAATACTGTGGATTAACATATATTTTGGCTGTTTGAAACTCTGTAAAGCGAGTTGTTCTCGTAACTAGGTTTTCAGGAAGCATAACTAGGGAAGACAGGGTTTTCCACTTTAAGCACTTGAGCTTCAAAAATATTTATTCATAAAACTGTATTTCTAACCCTTTGTAAAAACAGCTCATGTTCATTAGAAATAATTTGAAATCTGTAGAAAAGCAGAAAGAGGAGTTTAAAAATTATTTGCAGTTTCACTCCATTCCGGTATTTCGTCTCTTCAGTTGTGATTGTGTTATTCAAGTATTTGTGATTGTACAGCATGGGTAGTTTTAGATGTAAAAATTAAGAACAAATATAAAACATTCTTTTCTAGTTATAAAACAACATAAGTTCTTTACAGACTATTTGGAAGATACGGGAAGAGTATAAAGAAGAAAAATGAAAATCCCCATTGAGGACTTGATTTAATTTGACTTAATCTCAGTTGATTTAACATTATATTGCTTTTAAGCAGTCTAGCCTTTTAACCATTTTGTGAGGCTGAATTAATTTTAATGCTTTCAATCTTTAAAATAACCACAAGTTATAAAAATATTGGTTTTATTTTCTAGGTGTCTGGGCCACTAAACCAATTTTAAAAGGCAAAAAGTTTGGGCCATTTGTTGGTGATAAGAAAAAAAGATCTCAGGTTAAGAATAATGTATACATGTGGGAGGTAAGAAAGAATTCTGGTTCTTTGTTTATCAGAGTTCTGTATATATTTTAAAGAAATCGTTATCCTGTTCTCTCAGGATTTGATATTTCAAAATTAAAACAATCATTTTAATGTGTTCTTTAAAATCAAGAATATTTTTATTAAAGAAAAAATGTGTTTCCCTGGATACAGACTGCTATTTATATATGCTTTTGTATTTTGAAACTGCTTGGCTGTCCTCAGCAATAAATGTCAAATCTATTTTTTTATATTGCCTTGTCTAGGATATTTTGCTTTGCAGCTAAGACCTTGACTTCCTGTGTGATGCTCTGTCACTTTATAGGCTTCCAGATAAACACCATAAAAGACACTCCAGGGTGGCTGCAAAGAAAACACCATTAGATTCTCCTCTATATTTTCGAAAGTAATTTCTGTGTCGCTAGGGTATTCAGAGTTGGATATATTTAGCACATGGCACATTTATATAGAGCTTTTAATTTTTCAAAAGTCTTCTATTAATTTCCTGTTCTCACAACAATCCTGGAAGACAGAACAGAGAATTAGCATGCTCCTTTGAGAGGAGAAGCAGTCACGAAACAGAGATGAACTGTCCTTCCCTGTGGGGCTCCTGTTTGAGAGGCTTGTAGATGCAGAACCAGAATGCATCTGCCTCGTGGAGAGGCAATTAGAAAGGTGTTCATTACACTGCCTGGGTTCAAATCCCACCTCTAGCTTCGTGACTTTGAGCAGGGTACTTAACCTCTGGGCTCAAAAATCCTCGATTTAAAAAATGGGGATAATAAAAAATATTTGATTAGGATGTTGTTCCCTGGGGTATTGCATGGAAATTCAGCATTTATGTTGAATTTAGTTTAGGTCAGTGCCCTCCCGGAAGCTCCTCACATTCTTAAAGGAACTTCATGGTGTAAGTCCTTTTTAAAGCAAGCTAAATTTTTGGATGGTGAAGAAAAGCATTCTTATCAGATTATCTGAATTGAATTACATCTGTTTTTCACACATTAACATATGAAAGCCTATGGATAAAAAGAGGCCTACTGTTGAAAAAGTAGAAACATATGAAAGCTTAAAAATAAAATATGGCTAGGAAATGTGTGGACACTTTCCATCGTGAAGTTCTGTGGCATTTGTATGTCTGAGGTGTGTTGTTATTTTTCTTAATGCTATAAGCAGGGTTTTTTAACTTTTTGAAAAATCTGACAGTTTCTATCAGTAATTTTGAGTTTCTTGTGAATCTGTTGTAATGTATCTTCTGACTATTAACGGGGAGGGGGGCGCTTAGGAAATGAGGATTTATGAGGAGAATCATTGCATTATGTTATTTTACCATTTTTGAGGTACTCTATTTGTAGAAAAACTGCCTCGCTAAAAAATATTAATTACTAAAGATATCGCCTGCATGATTAAAAATGTCTTGAGCACAGAATTATGCTCCCAAATAAACTACATTTTTAATTTTAAATGTTTTCCAGTGGAAACTGACAAATATGCTCACCAGGTTAACACTAATTTTAGTGAGGATAATGTTAGGGAACCAGAAAATGCTTATGCTAGTTCTGTGTGTTTAACACTAAGCTTGAACAAATACTATTAATATTAAACTTGATAGTACCTATTTTGCCCAATATAACAATTTAATGTTGAGCATGTTGTATAAGTTATTAAACAGTGCTTTTGGTAAATTAAGCTTCATTTGCATTGAAATTCATATATAGTATGACTTGATAATAGCTTGTTGACAAATTATAATTTAGAACCATGACGTATTAGGGACTCAGTTTCCATAATAAACTCGTTAACATTCCATTGTTAATTTAAGATGCTTTTTATATATTGCACTACTACAGTTTGCAAATCCTTATGATTCTGCTTGTTCTTTAGAGTCAGGTTTAAAGATTTAGTTCTTGTCAAAGCTGGCTTTTCCTTCCTGCAATTAAAAAAAATCTGGATCTCATTCAGGTAGTTCTGGCTAGTAGGTATGTTTGATACAGAAACCTTTAAACCTTTTGCTCTGTTAAAATAAAAGTAGATAGATATGATATATACATAAGTATGCATATGGCAAAGTATAGGAAGTATAAATTATAATGTACCTATTTCTTAAAAAGAAGAAAATGAAAATTGAGGAAAGACTTAATCTTTTCCCATTAATTTATTCCAACCCTGGTCTTATCCTCAGACTTGCATCCGAATGCCTCATATTAATGTAACAGAACCAGCTTATCATCAGAATCTCATCTTGGCATTTGTTCTTCCATCAAAGCCCCTAAGATCAGCTTATCTGTTAGCAGCAGGGTCTTAGACCCCAGCCAGAACTCCATTTTAAAGCTAATCTAAGACAAAGTGTTAAATTGCTTTTCTTGAGCCCTTGATTATCTAACCTAGTCTTAAATCCTATAAGCTTTCACAGAAAACATTCTATTAAATCAGAAATAACAGGAGAGAAACAGTAGAGTATCGTCAGGGTGAATGCACAGAATAGCCAGGTTCTCACAAGAGGAGAGCACTCTTTGATCAGCCTCTGGCCAGGAGCTGCTAGCCAGCTGAAACTCAGGACTTCATGTAATACTTCTCTTGACTGTTCCCATATATGCTGAGTAATCTGCAGTGTTTTAAAACCTCCTCTGATAAAATCCATTCAAATTAACTTTCATGGGCCTCAGATTGCTTCTAATGAACAAAACTTTGGAATTGTTTGAATAAGAATTATTTTAATAAGTCTTTTTTTTTTAAAGATAGACTTAATTTTTTAGGGCAGTTTTATGTTCACAGGAAAATTGGGCAGAAAGTACAAATAGTGCCCATCTACCCGCTTCCCTGACACACGCACAGCCTCTCCCTCTAGCAGCATCCCGGAGTGGTGAGTTTATTGCAGTCCCTGAACCTGCACTGACACTTTGTTGTCACCCAGGGTCCATAGTTTACGTTAGAGTCATTCTTGGTGTTGTCTGTTCTAATGAGTCTTTTTTTAAAATTTAAAATTAATACATGCTCACTGCAAAATAATATAAACAATACAGAAAAATATATGCAAGAAAGTAAAAAATCATTTAAACTCCTACCATCCAGGTATAACCCCTGTGAATGTCTTCCTGAACATTCTTTTAACTCTGCTTCTCTGCCTCTGTTTTTATTCTGTTCCTCACACACACTAGTATGTATACAAACACCGTATATAGAAACTTATGCATTTGAGAGCAAACAGTGCATGCAGTTTTTAATGTGCTTTTTTCTTTCAATACATTGTGGATATAGCCATGTCAACTGCTTATTTACATCGTTATTTCTTATGCCGTCCTAGAATTCCATTGTATACCAGTCATGAGTTATTTAAGCAGGCCCTGTGTTGAACTTTTAAATAGTTCTAATCTTTCATGATTATAAATAATTCTTCAAAGTATAAAGATCACTGTATATATATATACATGTGCTGCCTTGTCTGATTATCTTCTTAAGATAAATTTCTTGAAGTATAAATGTTAAGCCAAAAAGTTATGTACATTTTAACCCTTAATACATTTTGCCATAGCCCTCCAGAAGGATTTGTATTAATTTACGTAACCACCAAAAGTACGTTTTTCTTCCTAGCCTTTTAAAACCCAGTATTGTTCATCTTTTTAATAATTTTTAAAAATTCATTCTCATAGATGAAAACTGATAGTTCATTACTTCTATTTGCATTTTGTTCATTCAGACAATGAGTCAGGGGATGAAGGGAAGAAGTAGAATTTCCTGTATCAGTTCAAATTGATAGAGAAATTGTCTCTTTATAATGCGAAGACTTTAACTTTTTTAAGGAAGTGAAAACATTTTTTATCAGTCTGCACTGTTATGATTAAATATTAACAAGTGGTTTTATAGACCTTGCTATTTCAATTCTTCTAATACCACATTATTTGTGAGTTAAAATGGCAGGCAAGAAGAAAAAAGAGAGTAGTTAATCAGCTGGTTCTGCAGAGCCTTTTTTCAGAAAGTACTACTCAGCTCTCACTGCTGCTTTCCAACTCCTAAACCAGACGTCAGAGTTGCACTGCGGGGAAAGGTCTAGATCACCAGGGAAATCCAACCTGCTGCCTAATTTTTTTTACAGCCTGGAGCTAAGAATGGTTTTTATATTTTTAAATGGTTGAAAAAAATCAAATGTTTTGCAACATGGGAAAATTATATGAAATTCAAATTTCAGTTCATGAATAAAGTTTTATTGGAACACAGCTATAGTCACTCATTTACATATCATCTATGGCTGCTTTTGCCCTGTAACAGCAGAGTTGAGCAGTATGACAAAGACCATAAGACCTGCAAAACCAAAAATATTTTTGTGTGGCCCTTCAAAGAAAGCTGGCCAAGCCCTGGTCTCAGTGTGTGGAGAAGAGAAGCAATAGGAGTGAACATGGTGATGTTGGGTTTCAGGTTTACTGAGAAGCTAAGTGGTTAATGGCAGTGTACAGATTTTGAACTCGATACTTCAAAGTGGGGTGACTGTAGAATTGGTTGTTACAGAAGTGGCTGAGCCAGTCATCTTCTCTCAGGAACTGTGGGACAGATGAGGAGGACATTGAAGTGCAGAGAATTAAGTGATCCTTTCGAACAGGTTAACCTGTACACATATTGGCAGCTTGGTCTGGTGCAAAAAAAAAAAAAAAAATCTCTGAGAGTTTATTTATTAACTCATTTAATACTTATTTGTTAAGCTTTTACCATGTACCAGGCACTGTCCTGAGTTCTGGAACACTAAGGCTGGCCTATAACATGAGTGGTGTTATAAACTACTGGCAGTACCTCATGGAGATTTTTATTTGTGGAATAAAAGAATACTAGAAATGACCTAGATCTTTCCACAGATGAGAAATCTGAGTTCCAAGTAGCTTGCTTGGTGTTTTAGATCTGTCATTCCTGGGGTCAGGCCAGGAGCCCATGTTCCTTGGTTGCCTGTGTAGTCCTTTTGCATTAGCAAAGCCCGGAAACTGTTATACTTTTTTGCATTGTAAACCGTTTTGAAAATC